AGGACGTGAACCGCGGTCGACTACGTGGGAGTCCAGCGACATAGCCATTACGCTAATTGCTGGTTCCCAACTTTGTAATATATTTTGAAGTTGGGTAGTGAGATAACTCCTAACCTATTCTTTTGGCACAGTATTGCCTTGGTGATACAGGGTCTTTTATGATTCTGGACAAATTTTATATATTTTTTTCTATTTCTGTGAAGAATGTCACAGGCAATGGGTTGGAATTGCATTGAATATGTAAATTAATGACATTTTGATTATATTTGTCCTTCCAATCCAAGAACACTAGATATCCTTCCATTTTTTAATTTCATATTCAATTTCTTTTTTCAGTTTTTTATAGTTTTCCTTGTAGAGGCCTTTTACCTCTTTGGTTAGGTTTTTCTTAGGTATCTTATTTACTTTGTGGCTATTGTAAATGGAATTGCTTTCTTCAATTCTATCTCGGTCTGTTCATATGAATATTTTTAAATCTCTCCATAGTTATTGCCAAATTGCCCTGCAGAAGGTCTGCATCAATTTATATTCTCACAATCAGTGTATGAGAAGGTATATTTCATCAGTCCCTTATATATAATTGAATAGCCTTTGCCTATTTAATATGCAGGAAAAGGGAATTTGTTGTATGTCTGCTCTTCTAGAATTCCCTATATGACTTAAATTTGGATTTATTGTTTTGTTCCCTCAGTTCGTAACATACTTCATTTGTCCATTTTTTTCTGATGTGAGGCCAAAGAAGTTGCACTGTATTTCTGAATTCTTCGTTTTCTTTTGTTCTTAAAGATAAAACTTTTACTTACTTTGTAGTGAACCTTAATGGTGCCTACCCCAAGCTGGTGCCTTTCAGACCTGCAGGACGGCTGGTCTCCCCACCTCTGTTACTTTCTGTGATTTTCAACATTCTCCTCAGCCTGGCCATGCACATCGTGGGCTTCATCCTGGTTCAGAGGCAGCCTTGGTATTCCATGGACATGCGCAGGTATGTCATTGCCTCATTTCATTTTTTTTACATTTACAATTTTATTTCATCTTTCTTGACATTTGCACATAGGTATGATCATTGCCTCATTTCATTTTTTTATACATTTACAATTTTATTTCATCTTTTTTGACATTTGCACATCTATGTTTATTTGGCATTATTTTATTTATTATATTATTATTATTATTATTGTTTTATATTCAGTTGCTATACATCATTTAGCTTGTATAGAGAATTTACCCAACATTAAATACACCTCACACCAGTCCAGTTGAGAATACTGTACACATCAACAGGTAATAAACTATTTCTGTGTCCCACAACGTCTCACCTTTCTATTTTTTCTCCCTAATTTCCTTCCCTATGCTCTTCCCCTCTCCTATCTTCTTTTAACATTGTCTCCAGTATCCATAGCTATGTTCAATGCTTTTATGCCCTTCAGTCTTTCAGTCTCTACCATACAGTGCAGACAGTCGGCATATGTTAAGTGGAGATATACAGTACCTCAATTTCAATCTCTCATGTTCTAATTTCTATCAAACATCATCTGACCAATATTATAGAAAGCAAATAGGTAGTCCCTCTGTCAAAGATTTGGGCTTCTTTAATTCTTTTGAGCAAATTTCCATTGATTGCTTCTTCTCTGTAGCATAGTTTGATGTATCATTTGATATATCATTATCATAATCTTTTATATGTATAAATGACCATGGATTATAGTTACCTGGGCAACTTCAGTTTCAACAGTCCAGGTTAAATTAAGTAATATCCTAGTGAGAAAGTTGAAGTATTTCCTTTTACTTTCAAAAGTATTTCCCTGATGGATGATAAATAATATGGTCATCCAACTCCTAAATGATCAGAGATGTTATGCCACTCAAGGGGGGAATTATGACTTATTCATCTTTGCCATATATCCTTAATCAACATGATGAATAAACAGTTTGTTGAATGAATAACTGGTAGAATACACCTGTCTGTCTGTGCCTTTTCTTTCTCTTTATTTTTCAGTGTATTTCTCACCAAAGTGTAGGCAATTATGGAAGGATTCAATGCTTCCTCTAACTACTGTATTGCCTGAAGTGGTGTAGATACAAATGCTTTATCAGGGCTTCTCATTTACCTTATCAACTTCTTTGGTTTTCTTTTTAGTGCCTGCACAGTGCAAAATGAAAGCATTTCAAAGTTAACAACTTCTCCACCTGCTCCAGAAAAAAATGGAAGTAACAGTGCCTTCACAAGTTTTGAGAACACCACTATATGGTTCTTGGGAACAATCAACTGCATTGTGGTGGCTCTTACATTCTCTAAAGGAAAACCATTTAGGCAGCCCACCTATAAAAACTGTGAGTATAATTGAACTGGATCAGAGGTGAGAGGTCAGAGAGGAGAACAGACATTCCAGAACTCTGTAAATCGTAGTACAGCCTCATTCTCTTGTTCTTTCTCTTCTCTTCAAAACTATGTTAAATACCCAGGCATATTCCTCTCCCTCTTCCTTTACCAGAAATTTGTCTTTAGGTGTAGTTTCTTGGAATCACTCCAAATTGAGAAGACCAATTTGTTTCTCTACTTGTCAGTATTTGTCAGAATTCATCTTGGAAGAGGTTGGTGGGGGAAGGGTCACAGCACTCAGTTGGAACCTGTCTCCTGCTGTGCCTAAGATGGCATTGTGCGGTGGCAGCCTGGGAATGGCTCCAACAAGAGCAACCCATTATGGAAGATTATGGAAGACTGTGGTGGCTTGTGGCCCCCTGCTTTCTTACATCTGAGGTGGGGACATGTGTCAGGAAGAGAAGTGGGTAACCTGTTCAGTCTCTGGGATGCTTATTTGTACATTATCATTACCTCCTAAATGGGAAAATGCAGAAGCACAAATGGAATAATTATTTTCTTAAAAAATCGTTCAGAGAAAATGATCTTGTCCTTTTCCTTCTTGGGATGAGGAAGTAAACTGACCTACACCAGATTGCAATTTTCAAAAACTGGTTTATTTACAGTCTTCATTTTTTTCCACATAAGGATTTGAGGCAGATGATTTATATGAAAGGAATTCAGATACTTGAATGTCTTCAAGGCCTTTATTGAAAATGATTTTTTTATGTTAGCCATATCATTTTTATTAATTGAAACTTAAAACACGTACTTGAAAATTTCCATTCGCTTCAGGGACACGCATAGATGTAGCAGAGGTGAGATCTATTGCATAGAAATGAATACGTTTCATCTACTATGCTGGTTTGGATATATTGATGGATATGAAATAAATTCAATCAGTGTTAATCGAGACTATGTCTGCCAATAGAGCTGACACTTGGCACTCCGATTGCTCACAGTGAAAGCTTGTGTTCTTATTTCCCCAGATACATTTGTCCTTGTGCTCATCATACAGCTGGGTGTGTGCCTGTTCATTCTGTTTGCTGATATCCCAGAATTACACAGGCGTTTGGATGTAAGTCTCCTCTCTGGGACATTACGGCATGTGTCAGTGACGTGGTCCCCTGACTTCAAACACCAGGTCACAGTTGCCATTGATGTGGGTTATCGACACCAATTTTTGGGGGAGGGGATTGCAGAGTTAAAAAGAATGCTGAACACACTCACGTTTTTTAAACCTGTTTAGGAAATAAAATTCTATCCGGCTTTGATTTCTTGAAAGTAAAGACAGCCTTTGAAACGTATTGAATATGTTTCTTTAAAAAGATTCCCTGTAAGATTGGAAAAAAAATCTATGTACTTATACATTTTCTGTTTCAAATGTGAGGGGATTTTCTCCTGATTGTTTCTTGCTTCTGCTTTGAAGCTGTTTAATACAATCTTACCTATGACACTTTTGGGGGTTAATTCTTAAATCTATATTTAAATTTTTGTGCCCTTTCAAAAACATGTTTTTTCTGTATGTTCATACTTAATGTCAGCAATAGTTAGGTTCAAAGAGTTATACTTGCATTCTCTTCTGTTTTGAAATATTGAGACAATTTGAAACCAGAAAAGATATAGAAATTTTACATATTCAACCAAGAGAGAAAAACATATATTTTGATTCTGCCAAACTATCCTTCTTGGAACTAAAATTTAATCATTGTTAAAGGGTTGGTCCTTTAGAACAATAAATGTGATATAGAGGAGATGGTGAAAGGAGCTGAGTTTTTTTTTTTTTTTTATTTTGACCATCCACTTGCCTCTCCATTTCAAAGATGGGTTCCATGAGGGCCAAGACCATAATTTGTTTTTGTATTACAATGCCTTGCACAGTGTACATCACAAAATAACAAAGGAACAGCTGACTGAGCAAAGGTCAGTCCTAGTGCATTCCAAATCAGGGAGTACGTAGTGCATTCCAAGTCAACAATACCTTCATGTCCCACAGTGACGGTCCATACACTAAATAGCATCTACCTTCTTTATGTTTATAATTGCATTACTGTGCTTAGCAGTGTAATGATCATTGCCATTCACTGTCTGTACGAATTAGATGAAGTACTCACGGAAATATATAGAACTTGCCCACTAGTCTTCGGAGTTAAAACTTCTTAATCCTACAGAGAGATGTTGGGTTTAATCTTACTTTTTAATATATGATGACTTCCACAGAGAGGCTGGGTCCTTTGGTCTAACAAACGAAGGATCATAATGGACTTAGAAATAACCTGTTTGGAGTCATTGTCAGCATGACAAGGAATTGTTGTTCATCTTAAAACTAATTATTTCTCAGGGCCAGCAGGTGTGCACTGATTAAAGCACTCAACTCCCATGTGGCTGATCTCAATTCCAGTCCAAGACCTGACAGCTTGAAATTCATACTGGGTGCATGTGTGTGTGTGTGTGCCCAAAATTCAGAGAGGAAAACAGAGAAGAAATTGCATTGTGGCCATCCTCCCTGGGGTGGGGGAGGGTGATTTATCTCTTTCTATTGTCTCTCCAGCAAGTACAAGTACTCTATAGCAAAAATCTCTAAAAACAAGTTTTCTCATATTATTACATCAAATATACATTAATTTGAGAATTAATTTGAGAAAATATAGACTATACAAGCAAGGAAAATTATAATATTATTCACTATATTCTTTCCTCTTTTATAGTTTATATATTATGTTCATTGATTTATGAAGTTTAAGTGGAGTCATGCTGTTTTAGAACCTAGAAACTCTTCACTTTTAAAAAATGTATTATTATTATTATTATTATTAGAGAGATTTTTGCTATAGGGCACATGCGTTCACTGGAGAGACAGAAAGTGAGAAATTACCTCCGAGGGATGAGCACACCACAATCCCTTTTCCTCCTATTCTCCTCTCGAGATTTTAGGCATGCATGCACATGTGCCTAGCGTGAGTTTGAAGCTACCAGGTCTGGGACTTGAACCACGGTCGACCATGTGAGAGTTCAGCAATGTAACCATTACACCATCTGCTGGCCCATTTAAAAAATGCATTTTTTAGATAGGGGATACATTTGCTTGATTTAAAAATCCCAAAGATAGGCAGGACCTTTATGGGATACAGAAACGGATGATTATCTGTTGATGGTAATGTGTATGACATCTTCAACTGCACTGGTGTGAAATGTATTCGTGTTGGCTAAATGTACTTTACAAGTGGTAGTGATGTACAGTGATCAAATGTATAAAACAACAACAACAAAGTATGCTATAAAGTAAAGGTACCTCCCCCATTCTTGTTCCCCAGTCACTAGTCCCCTCAGTTTATTTTACATATCTTGGGAATTTGTGTGTGTGTGTGTGCGCACACACATATAACACTTTACTTACATTCTTCTCTCACATTTTTACACAATAGTAGAAGATTGTCACATTTGGTTAAGTCTTCCAAGATGTAGGCGCTCAGGTGGGGTGAGTTATGCAAATGACCTAACTGAGGAAATGCCTGAGGGGTGGAAGGGAGGAAGCAGAAGGAGCAGGTGGAGAAAGTTACCCTACTGAGATACAGGTTGGACGCCTCTTAAAGGGACAGGGAAGGAAGGAGGCTGGATGAGCAGAGTCTCAGAGGTCAGTGCAGTGCTAAGAAAGCAAGCCAGCGTTGCCCCAGATCTCAGGAATGATTAGAATCCATGTTGTCCTCATTTATTGGCTATGAGCAGCCCTTGAAAGGTACGGTTTCAGGGTGGTTGGGGTGGCAAATCCTGACTGCAGTCGTTTTGGCAAAATGTGCTCTCATGTGAAAGGAAGCAAGGTGCAAGACTGTGGTTAGAGCAGCTCATGAAAATGTTCCACTAGGATCTCCCTCTGCTGAGAAGACAAATGAGGGATGCCTAACGACTGCATTCAGAATTGGCCACCCCAACCCCCGAAGCCAAAACTTCCAAGGGCTGCTCATAGCCAATAAATGAAGACAGCATGGAGTCTAATAAGATATGTATGATAGACATACATATTACATATATAAGATATATATATGCACACATATATATTATGCAAGAAATCTTCAAAAAGTTTGTGGAAATGGAATTAAAGTATGAGTTTATTTGGGAATGGAGTTATTTTTGAAATCTCTGCAGAGTTTTTTCATACCACCATTTCCATGAAGTTCTTGATGAACTTCATTTAGGTTATTTCCAAGATTTTACTAATATGAGCAAAGCTGCGATAAAATAACCAAGTACTTATAGCTTTTTAGATATGTGCAGGTATATCTCTGGGTTAAATTCCCACAAGTAGATTTAAATTTGTAATTTTGATAGCCCTGTTCTCCGGAGGGTTGCAACAGTTTTTATTCCTACCAGTAAATGAGGCAATGCTTTCCTCTCATGATTTCCAAGCAAAGCATTAATTTACAAGGCAATACTAGATTGGACTTGTCTTCTTGTCTTTTTTTCACTCATTCATTCATTCAGCACACATGCACACGAGGCACTGTGCCTAGGAGGGGCTGGGGAACGCACACTACCTGCCAAGATGGATTTCAGCCCCACACGCTCGTTTGGCAAGTACCTTGTGATGGATGGCATAGCCTTTGCAACTGTGCGCATAGTTCCGTGGGTGAAACCCCGACCCAGTGCTGAAAAGAGAGAAGAGTGCAACGCTGTCCGCTGTCCTTGTGGAGGCTTGACACTTGTGCCTCAGACTCTCCTGGGAATAAAGCCACAGTCTTATGTTCGAAACAAAACAAGCAAATGTAAAGGACTTTACTATATTTTTATTGCAAAGTGGCCAGACTTATTTTAGGAAACAGACATTACAAAGAAACAACAACAGAAAAAATAAAGGAAAGTAAGATAAAAGGAAAAGAGCAACAACCATAACCCCAAATAATGGGATCAGTGAGTAAATTATTCCATACTCTTTTTTGTGCATGAATACGTAGAAATGACATACCAACACTTCAGATATACATATATATGTATATACAATGTGTATATATACATAATGTAAATATAGCATCCATGTATATACCGACATATACATTACATATGAGAGTTATAACCTGTGAACACGTGCAATGTGAGCATTTCCCCAGAATATAGCTGTCTTCGTACTAACTGTGCTTGGTCATCTCCCACCAGCTGCTCTGCACGCCTGTCTTGTGGAGGGTCTACATCGTCGTCATGCTCAGCTCCAATTTCATTGTGTCCCTTGTCGTGGAGGTGAGTGCCCTCAGGCTGCTGATCACTGTGCATGTGTTGCCAGGGGACCTCTGGGAGTCTGAGGAAGAACAGTTTAGCTGACAAGGGCTCAACAGCACGAGGGCTCTCTTTTTTCACTCCATGAGCGGTGGGTGCTTCCCTCTGATGGTTTCCAAGCAGAGTTTTCCTATCTGTAAAGTGGGGTTGGAATAATGGAGGTCCTAAGGTCCTTTCACTTCCAAAATATCCAAATAGAGACCCAATCAAATTCATTTCTGAAATTGAGATAGGATTTGTATAAAATTCACCATAATGAGGTATACAAGTCAGTGATTTGGGGTATATTCACTGAGTTGTGCAATTATCAACAGTAATTAATTCTAGAATATTTTTATTACCCCCAAAGAAATCCTGTTCTCATTAGAATTTGCTCCTATCCCATCTCCTCTCTTCTCCTACCTCCTGGCAACCACTAATACACTTTCTGTCTCTATGGAGTTGCCTATTTAGGACACTTCACACAAATTGAATCATACAATATGTGGCCTTTGTGTCTGGCTTCTTTCACTTAAATTATTTTTTACTTTTAGAGATGGGAAATGAGATTCGCAGTGTGCTTTTCAGCTCTTATTCTTCAGTTCCTATTTGTTCTATTCCCTCTGTGAAATGAACTCATGCTCCACTTTCTTTATCTACATGACACTTTCTCTTCTCAGTGCCATTAGATATAATATCCATTCTCCAAAGCCCCCTGTTGGGCCAGGGGCACCCCCAAAATTGCATCTGTGAGAAAGGAGAGGTGCAATGCAGGATTCTGTCCGTCCCTCTTCCTGTCCAAGTATGAAACTGGAATTGTTCCAGGAAACAGGGTCTCACCATGGGCTGTGAGCACCCATGGCCTCAGCTTCCTACGGCAGCATGTAGGCAGGAGTGCAATGAACAGACTTAGTGCACAGACTAAAGTGGGCATAGGATCGGCACAGATCAGGGCACAGAACGAGGGTATTGGAGCTTCCCTCTAGGCTAAGTCAAAGCATCCCAAGCTTGAGTGGGCATCAGAATCACCTGCGAGTTTGTTAAGACACAGATTTAAAAAAATTATTATTTACATTTAATCACATACAGCTTTACAATGTACAACATGACTTTTCCTAGCTTCAGTAAGTGCATATCAGTCAAGACAAAGACATTATCATATACATTATCATCAGCAAATAACTTTTCATTTTTGGGTCAATTAAACATATTTTTCCTTGTTCCCCTCCCTCCATTCCCCTATTACCCACCCCGTATTACCCTTCTCCCTACTTTCTCAAGTAGCTCCAGTTGCTCTCCCTGGTATTATACCTTCTAATATTTCTGTTTCTGCTATAGAGCATTGACATTTGATATATATTGAGTAGGGACATACAGTCTCATTCATAGTCTGACTTGCTTTGCTTAGCATTAAGTCTTCCATATTTACCCTCTCTGTATCAAATGTCAGGGTCTCATTGTTTTTTTATGGCTGAGTAGTATTCCATAGAGTACATATGCCACATTTTTTCAATCCTCTCTTCTATTTTTGGACATTTGGTTTGATTCCATGTCCTAGCTAAATAATGCTGCAATAAACATGGATGTGCAAGGGTTTTTCTAATTGGGGTTTTCCTACCCTTTGGGTAAGTATCTCAGAGTGAAATTATTTGTAGATTTCTGAAGAATCTCTACATTGTTCTCTACAGTGGTTATTCTAATTTACATCCCCACTAACAGTGTAGGAGAGTTCCCTTTTCACCACAGCCTCACCAGCACTTATCATTCTTTATTATTATTTTTTTAATTCTAGCCATTCTGACTGGTGTTAAGTGATATCTCATTGTGGCTTTGATTTGCATTTACCTTCTCAGAGATGCCAAGTGTGTTTTCATATGTTTTTTGGCTGTTCATATGTCTTCCTAGGAGTATTGTCTGTTCAGCTAATTTTTTCTTCTTTTGCTTGGATTGATTCTTTTTTGCAGGTAAGCTACTTGAGTTCCCTGTATATTTCTAGTTATCAGTCCCTTATTTGAGGTATAGTTTTCAAACGTATTCCCGCACTCTGGGGGGTGTCTTCTTACTCTAATTATAGTTTCTTCTGCTGTACCTTAGTTTCTCAGCCTAATACAGTCCCATTTGTTTATCTTGGGGACTATTGCCTGAAGACACAGATTTTTAAGTCTGATCCCCAATGTGTCTGATTCAGTAGATTTGGAGTATGTGCAAGAGTTTGCATTTCTAACAGGTTGCCAGGTGATTCTGATGTGACGGGTTTAGGGACCATACTTTGAGAAGTTCTATGTTAAATAATATGGCCTCCAAAGTAACCAGATTGATAAGAGAGTATTAAAGTGGGTGTCTTTAGACTGAGTTGCAGAAAGATGGTCATTGTTTTATATATATATATATAGTATTGCTTTTTAAAAAAATATTTAACATAGAACTT